ACGCCCGACTGGCCCTATGCGTGGCCGTAGCCATCTATTCCACCTTGCACTATTTCAACAATTTCATCGTGCCCACCAAGGACCTTTTTGAAATATTTCAAATCACCTCGGACTTTGTCTACGCTAAATTCGAGTTCAACGCTAAACTATTGATCATGTACGGTTTTGGTCGCTGCCCCGAGGGCTCTACCGCTCACGTGCTAAACCAGTACTCGGTAGGGCCCGACTCGATGTACTGGCGCTACTGTGGGTACCTATTTTGCTCCTACCTGGTGCTAAAATGCTCCGAACTAACAGCCCTACTCATCAAGGCTAATAAGGTGTCCATCAATATGATGGTGTGCTGGCTCAAGGCCTGCGCGGGTCGGGGCCGGTCCAAGAATGGTCAGTCTGTCCTAATTTTTGGTCCAGAGTTTCAACGATTGAACAGCGATTGCACGGACACTGAGTGCGGCGGCGACGGTGGCGGCACCGGTAGTGTTGAACCGACAGAAAATAATAACCACAACTCGCTAGACGTGGACACTAAACCTGTAACCATCGATACCGTACCCGACGTGACCACTGGTGCAGCTGCGGCTCCCGTACGGTTCAAGTCGGCCAATTTGATGATAGTATGGGCGGACCTGTCGTTTGAAATGCGTCCCAAACTGTGCCGCTGTCAACGCGGCGACGGCTCCGGACCGTTGATACTGGACGGCATCGCCGGCGCCATAGAGTACGGCACGTTGAACGGCCTGTTGGGTCCCAGCGGGTCGGGCAAAACCACCTTGATGCGGTGCCTGAACGGTCGCCAGAGTCGGCCCATGACTCCGGACTCCCTGGTCTACGTGAACCGTCAGGAGCCAGTGGTGGCCTGTTTTGTCACCCAAAACACCGCTGAGCACCTGCTGGAGGGCCTCACCGGTCGACAAACACTGGTCTACGCGTGGAAGTTGAAGAACAGTCGCCTGAGCCGTAAGGAGACGGATGTGTCGCTACGGGCCGGTGTGGATGACCTGCTCCGGGAGCTGATGATCAGTAATATAGGCGATACGCTGGTCGAGCGGTGTTCGGGCGGTGAGCAGAAACGACTGGCCATCGCCACGGAGTTGACATCGAGAGTGAAGCCCAACATGTTGTGCATCGATGAGCCGACCAGCGGTTTGGACAGCGACGCGGCCGAAGTGGTGGTCAGGTGTCTGCGGGCGCTCACACGCCGGCACCGCATAGCCATCGTTGCGTCCATTCATCAGCCAAACAACGAGCTGTTCCTCATGTTTGACACCATCAATGTGTTGGCCAAAGGCGGACACGTGGTCTATGCCGGTCCGCCCGATGGCCTGCGGGCCCGACTGGCCGAGTGCGACCTCCCGTGCGGCTCAGGCGAGGCCCCCATCGAGAAAGTGCTAAAACACTCGGCACAGGGAGTGACGGGTAATCCTGCGATAGACCGTATGCGACGAAAAGCGGCTGAACTCAGGGATCAGTTGGTGAAACAATGCCATCAAATGAGCGCCGATATGGAGCTGATGCCGACGGGCGCCGGCCTCCCGACCCGCGCCAAGTGGTTCACTGTCATTGACTTTTGGTACCTTCTGGTGCGGACAATGCGGATCGCATACCTGTCCCAATGGAAAGCCCTTGTCATCCAGTTTTGTGTCTGCATTTTCATAGCGTTGCCATTTTCGCGATCACTCAATGAGGATATGGTTGTGCCCGACAGCTGTTTGGCCACTAATATGACCGCCGATTTGCTTGAGTGCGCCGACAGTGGCCTGTATTTGGAGAGTCAGGCCCTGATCTCCCAGAATATCAAGTACAATATAGTATTTATGACCTTGGTCACCTACCTCCAGATTGTCATTACACCGCTCACATTCACATCCGATGTCAATATTTTTATTAATGAACAGAGAAATGGTTTGTAATTTATGATTATGTTTGTTTTGCCAATTTATAATAGCTAGCTAAAACATACAACTGTATGACTCTTTAAACTTCATAAAAATTATTTATTGCTAATGTTTAGAAATGTTGTACCAGGCTCTAATTATAGCGGTTTACTATTTAATAAAGTTAATATAGCTATAATAATTTAACTTAAAAGTTAGTTTAACTAGTTTAACTTATCGCTAAAAAATAAATCTACAATGTCCTAGGCTGGTACAGTTCAGGCGCATACTACTGGGCAAAATCCACCGTGGACATATGCCCGGTGCTGGTCACACTACTGCCATTCATCGGCATCATGAACAAGTACAAATCGTGGTCAAAGTTTGGCGCCTACTACGGCTTCCTATCAATATCTACCCTATGCTCGCAATCCGTTGGTCACATCGCCGGCATTGTATTCAGCCAGGACAGCAAAATGGCCCTTGTACTATCGTTCGGCATACACTATTCCATGATGATACTGGGCAACTGTATCATCCCGGTCAAAGAGTTTCACCGCTACATCCAATACATTAGCCACGTGTCCTACATCAAGCACGCGTTCGAGAGCATCATGATCGTTATTTACGGGTTCGACCGGTGCCCAGCGGGCACCCAGTCATCTGTGCTCAATAGATTCGATCTGGCTGACGATGATCGGGGTATTTTTTGGACAAATGTGCGCAATATGCTCATTGTCTTCCTGGGCTTGAAAATGTTGGCACTGTTTTTACTCATATTTAAGTCCAATTACCGCCTGTTCCGACTGTCCCGTCGACAGCCCCGCCCGGCCAGTGGCCAACCCGTGCCCAATGGCACTGGTAATGATAGCAATGACTCGCAAAACGTGGTAAAACTCTATGAATTTGATACAATCAGCGGCCATAACGACGATTACAACGATTATAATGAACGAGAAGTATCTAAAATGTGATAATAATTATGAGTTTATTTTTAATTATTTTTATATTTTAATAGTAATTAAATATTTAAGTATGAATTTACTATTTTATATTTAAAAATGTTTTTTATATATAAAAACAGTTTTTTAATTATGTTTTGATTCGTGCGATAAAAAATACAATCAATTTTGTATTTTTTTATAACTAAACGATTGTCACAAACAATCTATTTATCATATAATTATGAAATAATAATAATTATATAATTAACTATTAGTTAATAACTAATAAATTGTAAATATTTGTAATTATATTATAAACATCTAGTACTTCAAAAAAACAACAAATGAATAAATAAAAATAATATAATTATTACATTAAATAAAAAATAACTAAACTTATAATTAAATACATTAAAAAAACAACAAAAATGCTAATAAAAAAGGCAACAAAACGACTATTCGGGCAAAAAACCAATCAATTATAATCACAACACAGATTCATCAACCGATCAGATCAATGGTCAGATCACAGGCAACCCCTACACAGTGGCCACGGAGGGGACCGTCGGGTGTTTGGGATGCCTGTGCCGGATGTGGTCCTTGAGTTGATCGACGGTATCGTAACCACTGTCGGCGCCGCAGTCGCTGTAGTCGCAAAAGTACTGGCGCTTATAGTAATGCACTTCGCGTATGTGTTGTGTGAGTGTATTGCTGCGGGCGAACGCGCCGTTACAGTCGGGGTACTCGCACTTGAATGGCCGGTCGCCCGTGTGTTGGCGCATGTGGTCCCGAACCTCGTATTTGTTAAGGAACTGCTTCTCACAACCTATAGGGCGGATACGGCACCGGCCAATGCATGGGTAATACAATACAAGTCATTATAAATGGGTTTATTGTGTATTAAACGGGATACACTCAAATTCATTTGCTTTTAGTTTATGATCAAATGATTTTTACGAACGCGAGCTTTCGGTCAAATCATTTTTACGTTCAGTCAATTCATTATTACACATATAGCGTAACGCGTAGACACTGAAAATAGATGGCTACGGCCACGCATAGGGCCAGTCGGGCGTTCCGGTGGCAAATGAGCCCGATTATTGAGCCGAGCGTTTGCGAGCACATGAACGCCATGAGCGATATATACAGGTATTTATAAAACCGTGAGCTCTCTTGTTTCTGTCCGCTTATGATATACATGATTATTGTGTAGATGTAGGCAAATATTATCGACAGTATTTGCTCGACCAGTGTTTTGGCCCAGTAGTACGACCCCGTGCCGTACCATTCTGCGAGTGGTAAATTAAAATTTGTTATTTATGCTGTTATATAAAATAGTACATGTTACGTTAATAACATAATCAATTAAATTATTTAAGAATAATTATATTTTAAAAATTCAAATAAAATAACATCAAGGTACTAAAATAATTGTATTAAATTATTTATAGTAACAATAAATAAAAAATTACAAAATCATCATAATCATGGTTTATTTATTTATAGGTATTTAAAATTATACTAACTATTCTGGTGTTCGGATGTAAACACTTTAATCTCGCTCAAGAAAAACGAGGTAGAAATGGCCGTATGTAGTGTAAAAATGGACACGGATGCAATATACTGATGATACAAATTCTGTTCCATAATGCCCATGCTATGTTCCAGCTCCTGGCATGTTTGATTAAACTGGGTGCCATTCACAGAGCACCCATCAATTTTACCAATATCTCTATTATACGCAAAGGTTAGGCACAGGAGGAACAGTATGTAGAAAACAATCTGTGCCACTAATGGTCGCCACTGACACACGTAGGTGTATAGCGAGTGTCGTAACAACAGGTGGTAAAAGTCGGGAAAATTGAAACGTTTGCTACGATTTCTGGTAAAACCGGGCGTCAAATGCATCGCCCCTTCGGCGCACTGTCGCCGTAACCCATGCCTGAGTTGACCGGTTTTTGCCGCCAACCGTTGCACCCGTTCATCGGTGGTCACGGCTTTGGACGAGTATTTCAGTAGCACTTCTATAGGGAACTGTATGTCCGGTTCGGTGTCGTTATCACAGATATCTACTGCGCTGGTGATGGATGGGGTGGTTGTGGTGGTGGCGGTGCCGGTGGTTATACCGCACTCGCGCAGGTGTAGGGCCAGACCGTCCGGTCGACCCCAGTATATGTTGACGCCCTGTTTGGCCAACACATAGACGTTATCGAAAAGCATAAATAGCTCGTTGTTTGGTTGATGTATGGATGTTATAATAGCGATGTTATGCTTACGGCTCAACGTTTTCAAGCATGAAATCACCTGAAAATTAAAACATTAACTTTATTCAAACGTGATTATAATTTTTATTTTAATTGTGATTAATTATCAATTGATTAATTAATTTAATCTAGCCTAACTTCTACAACTTATCTGATTACTGTAAAGTCTAATATTTACTCCGGTATTACAAAGTAATTAACTTAAAACAAACTTAAAAATAATAGATAATAAAATAATTGCAATAACTAATTATACTTAAGATCTTTAGGTTTACTAAATATTATTAAATAGCAACTTGCTAAAATAATTAAAATCTAGTAACTAGATAAATTTAAACAAACAAGATGATAAAATCACTTGCAATATCTGCGGCATTACTGTCCAAACCAGT